TGTTTATCTAAAAATCTATTAATTTGTCAGAGGATTTTTTGATTTAGCTTGTTTTAAAAAAGTTATAACACTTTAAAATTTTTATTAATAAATATTGGATGCATTTTGCTGTCCCACACTGTAGTAATTAAATAGCCCTAACCTGATATGTCACTTAATAGTAATGTAAGTATTGCATATATATGCAAAATAGTATTGAAAATCAGAAAGTTTAAATAGGTGACCCAGAGGCGAGTCTCAGGTATGGCATCTAGTGGTAACCTACGGGCGGAACCCTTAATTAGATAATGACTAAAGTTATACGTGTGGCTAGTTGTACTTTCGTTGATAAACTAATGTATATAAATGTAATCATATGTTACTAAATAAAGACATACAGGCAAGATTGCCGCTTAATAAAAAAAAAATATATATATATACGTATTATTAAATGACATGATTTATTGTATACAACAGCACATTTATTATACACGTTTAATATGATCTTATTTTTATTAACCACGATTTGGCATATGGCAAACTAAGTTAAATAAATAGTACGTATATATTGTAATTAATTTATCGTAAATAATTATTAATTAAAACAAAATAATTGTGCGATGAGTTTATAGCGTAATTAAAATCATTTCTGTAAAGTAACAAGATCTAGAAATCGTGAATGACTTGTTCTGGCAGTAATAGACGCAGTGATGTGTAATTTAATAATACTCACATTAAAAGTAAACGAATCCGTGAGTCACAATTTAAGTCGTTTGATGACCACTTACTCCTTGTTTTTAATAATATTTTTCGGCAGAGATGAAATTCCCAATTTAGCATTACGCAATTGTCGCGCTTTCAGGATTAGTGTGGCAATTTATGATAACTATGTATATAGCGGCAGATAATTACAAAATATATAGGAGCAAATGCGATTTATTATTTAGAATTTACCGTTTGTTGTTCTACGACTTTCCTGTCGCCATATATGTAGTAACTGAAATCATATACATGCATTATACAAGTCCTGAAAGAGCACAATCGTATGCATAGTTTGGAAATTTTACTAGCCGTAAAATATCAGACTTTACACGATCTACAATAATTGTAGTGATAAAAATCTTGTTAAGTAAAAACGGGGTAGGTTTCGTGACAAAATGCGATAATTTGATTCGTAAAAAATTAAGAACCAGTTAAATTCATCTTTGAAAGTCAGGAGTGACCACTAAGGTCAAGGGGTTATACTTATTTTTAAGATTCGACCTCTTTATTTCGTCAATCGATTATTATCATGCAGATTTGTATTGATAAGTGTTGTATAAAATCTTGGAAATTTTGCTTTTGTTATAAAATCTCGAAATTTTCGTTTTTGTTGGCATAAAAAAAAAAAAACAAATAATAATAATATAACTGATTTCAACTTTCATATAATCTATTAATTAATATGTATTCTTTGGGTAAAATTGCGCTTATGACTTTAATCGTGTGCAGCACTCTGATCAGGACTTTGGAAGCCCTACCACACGGTAGAAAGAAAATAGTATATTCTTAATTTATGGATTACAAATTTATCAACGATTTACACTAATGTTCATATCATCTGGAATTATTTCTAGTCGGAGACAAAGTCATAAAACGTGCCGACAGTTTTTATTCGATCGAAGAAATTTGCAAAGGTAGAGCTTAATTAGTTTTACAGTACCAATATTTTTTGCAAATAACAAATAACATTCAATATCACCGTCTTCTTAATAGACTATAGATTCGAATATCCACCTGCCAAACACGCAAAGCACGAAGTAACACGAATCAAGAATGGAACTTCAATCGACTGTATATGGTCAGCTGCGCAGACGTCACGAATTAAAAATATTACCGATTGCGAATTGTTTACTACTGATGGACTCATAACAGTTTTATGGAAAGCCGGTATTGAACTTGACCACAACAATAAAGCACGTGCCGTAGTAAAATTTATAGTTCCTGGGGATCATAACCTTCCTAAACAATTTTTGCTTAGAAGCGCAGCGACTACAGATTTAGGACCACATTGTAATGCTTATACGTATGTGTTTGATTTGATTTTTTTTTTAAACATCAATATTATTATTAATCTTCTCCTGTTCTTATTAGTGATAAATTCCTAATCTATGAATGAGCTGTTCTTATTTTTATTATGATTTTTTAAAAAAGCAAAAAAAAAAAAAATTGTGAATAATTTAATACGACTTTGCTGTTTCCATCATACCAAAATCTTTGTAAGAAAAACGCTGTGTATACGATAAGAGCAGTGAAAATCATTAGGTCTAAAGTGGGAACATAATATAAATTGTTACATACAATATTACTAGAAAGCTCGGTCTGATTCGGAGGTTAAATGAAACGAATGTATTGCATTTAATGTTTAATAATACTTCTTTACCTGTCCTATCAATCTATGAATGATTTGCAGACATTAGTGATTTAATGAAACCGAGACATTTAATATAATAGGACCCCTTAAGTCAGACTTTGTTACGTATTGAGGTGAAAATTTTAATTCAGAATCATACATACAATTGTCATTCTTTGAGTGGCAGCAGGATGATTGTAGATAACGCAGGATAGCGGCAGGGCACGTACGTAAGCGCGTAATTAATTTATAATTTACCCCTGCTGTATCCTGCTACTAATCACCGTTATTCGAAGAATGGCAATTGTATACATGATTTAAATTAGGAATTCTGCCTTCTACTGATTGCATTTATCCTTAATTAACGTTAATTAGTCACTGGCTTTCTAAGGAAATTATATAATCTTTAATCTGAATGGTTATAACTCAAATTGAATTACAATCCAAAGAATTCTATATCTCATTAGCTTAAGACAAAATTGATAACAGAAAAGAAAATATCAATTTTAAATAAAATAATCCACATGTATCGATATCACCATATCAAAGGTAAAGAATTACTTATATGCAATTACACGTATCGCTCGCTCTTCTGGAGCCCCATGGCAGAAGGATAGCAGCAAAGTTTTCTAATTTATCAGAGGTTTCAATTAATTACTTTTGCTATCCCGTTATCACACTATTAATTTATTATAAAATATAAAGTATTTCTTTAGGTTTTTTTTTTTATATGCAACCAAGCTCCATTAATATTTTTTCTGTAAACTTAGTGTTGGAAATTTAAATCGTCAGATCAATAATAAAATTTTAATTAGCAATTATAGATCTCTCTATTACGCCCCTAAAAAAAGTTACCCTAGTTTGGGCCTGTTCAATAGTAACATTGACCCTGGAATATTTTTCACTTAATGGCGGCCGCGATTTTATTAGTAAAATTTTGATGACCGCTGTTAGCCAATCAAAATCGTGAATTTTCAGCACGTTTTTGTGGATCAATCATCGGTAAACGAATATCGATATAGGATTGGGGGAAAACAGACGGATCCAAGCACTAGTGTTAGTATTGATATTAAACAAATTATTTCTCTCGTTATTTGTTATATCATTTGTCTCACAAAAAATATTATTTCCAATAAATTATTTTTGTTCCTGTCCATGTTTCAGTTTTTTTTTTTTTTTTTTTTTTTTTTTTTTTTGAAGTTCAGACAGTCTGGAAATAAATGAATTTTCTATATAATATATTACCATTTATATGCGTTAAAATTCTTTAAATTGCTGATAGCATTTGCACAAATATTCAGCAATTTCAATTACACTTTTATCGTTACTAGAATTTGTTTCATCGTCTATCTAACTGGTATCATCTCACTAGCTGAAATTAGATTCATATTATTATATCATAAATTTGTAGAATAGGTTTATCTTATTTAATTAGCTCCGCTCCCAAATAATTTGATTAGGTTTGGATATAGGTGAATAGGTTTTATTTCGACATACTGTACCTAAGACTTTAAAATTTTAAAATTAATATGGTGCAGAAAATCTTAACTCACCAATATAATAGATGACCTTTAAAACCTATTAGCTTCCAAATAATTTGATTAGTTTTGGATATAGGTGAATAAGTTTTATTTCGACATACCTAAGACTTTAAATTTTTAAAATTAATATGGCGCAGGAAATTTTAACTCACCAATAATAATAGATGACCTTTAAAACCTATTAACTTTCTAAAAAATTAAAATTTTAAAAATATAATTTCTATAAAGAGTTAATAGCTTTTAAATTTGATTATTTGTATATGAAAATGATTTTTAATTTTGTCCAATCAAAAACAGATTTTTTATTATAAAATTTTTTTAAACAATCAAAATTTAGGCCACCAAAAAAAGCTTCAGAACCAATTTATTAAGTTTGTATGCCTTAGATTTAAAAAATACAATTTGATTTGTGTTACCTATTCTAGCAACCTGATTGGCTAATTTAGGTTACACTGCATATATATAATTTAAACGTTGTCTAGTTAAGGTTTTCTGCATATTAAATTTTTGAATCACGTAAATAAAATACTTTTATGATTAACTAAATATTTGTCCTTGTTCATAACTTGGTATGGTATCCATCACCAGTTTGCACATTTTTAATGAGCTTATTGTAGTAAAAGGTTCGAAAAAATGAGTTCTGTAAAATCGGCACAATACTTAAAAAAAAAAAAGAATCCAATAATGCCTTCTAAATTTTCATCAATTTTATTAAAGAATCATAGATAGGTTGTGTTAAATCACTGGAAAATTGGCATTTTTTTTTTGTTCTAAAATTTTTTTCATATTTTGAATTTATTCTTTCTTGTTGTAGGGCGCTTGTCACTTGTCATAGCAACCTTTTTATTAGAAATCATTTCAAAGTTCTTGAGTGATTATTAATATTGTATACTAAATTAAAATTTCCGTCAGATCAAAATTAAATCAGAGTTTCAGAGTTTCATTAAAGGTTAGGTGAAGAAGACTATGTGAGCAAGTATCGGTATTAGCAGGGTTACAATTATTTTAATCAGTTTCAGATATAATAAAATACCGATACGTTAAAGTTGCATTTTAAATTTCAATTCAGTGAAATATTCTTTTTTTTTTTTTTTTACTATTAGCAGGGTTACAATTATTTTAATCAGATTCAAATTAATGAATGGTGCCATAATTCAAAATCTAATTTGTAGTAATGTAGTAATTATTTATTACAAAAGTAGTAATTGTAATAATAATTATTACATATAATATTCATTACTACACGTAGTAATAATTATTACATATAGTAATAATTATTATATATAGTAATTATTACTACATGTAGTAATTATTACTACATGTAGTAATTATTACAGATTTGAAATTAAACACAGAATAGACATTGCATTATGCTTATATAGTAATAATTTAATCAATTTAATTACAATAATACATAATATAAAATTCACAACTTTAATATGTATAATATTTAAAAGCATTGAAATCTAATATTAGAATCAGGATAGAGATTAAAATAGAGCATGTTCTATATTAAAATTTCACAAGTTTTTTTATTAAAGTGCAGAAGGTGTCTATATAGTTAAACTTTCAAGTTATCAACAGTTTTTTTAAAAGTGTGATTTCACATTACACTTGATCTAGTAATCTGAAAATTTTGATTGGTACGTCTATAATGATCTTTCATAGTTAGCTAAAGTGAGTAAATTCAATATAAGGACTGTCAAAAGTAGAAACCAAGAAATTTGACAATTTTTTGAAAATTAATCTGTTTGATTGATTATGTATAAAATTTAAAGCCCAATCTTTTTTACTTAATAATGAAAGTCTGATCATTTAATAAATTTTTGTGTTACAATGGTTAAAAGTTTTTGACACCATAATTTAAAAATAGATTTACCAGTACAAATGGGGCCATTGTAGTAGAAAGGGCCCAAACTCACCCGGAAATCAAAATTGAGTTTTTGTAAGATTCGAATAAATTCGAGACAGGCTACATTTTTTCTATTATAAATGGAAATTGATTTGCTTAATAAAAAATTGAAATATTTATAAATTTTTTTTTAGAAGATTTGTACATCACGAAATTATCTGATATAACTAACCAATCAAATCTTGGAATTTTTGATTGACCCAGATCAGTCCAAACAAAATAAACACGATTTTCTCAAAATTATATATTTCTGAGTTTCAGCCCTTTCTACTGCAATGGCCTCAAATGTTAGTATGATAGTGATCTACAGACTTAATAATCCTGTTTAAACAGGTTTGTTAATATTGAATAAACTATTTTTATATTGTTTTGATTTTGTGTAACAAAATAGTTTTGCTGATTTACTCAAAAGCCAAATTCCCTGGTTTTTACTTTTGATGGCCCATATATTGCATAATTGTACTCATGATAACTATATAAAATACTTACCATAAACTGCCATATCAAAAACCCGGGTCTCTTACATTCCACCAAAAAAATTAATTAGTAAAAAAAAAAAAATTATTAGTAAAAAATGAGGGTGGGTCTGATATATGGGGGGATCTTGTATACGGCAGTTTACGGTACCCTAAATGTATCAAAAAAGTAACTTTTTTAATTACTCTGCTTTAGCGATTCCCTATATATAGTAATATTTATATAGTAATATTTACTATATGTAGTAAATATTACTACATGTAGTAATATTTACTACTTATAATATTTACTACTTATATGCAATAATATTTACTACATGTAGTAAATATTATTACATGTAGTAAACATTACTATATGTAGTAAATATTACTCTAATTATGGTTTTAAAAAACCTTTGTAAAAATATATGTAGTAAATATAATTGTAGTAATTAGCTACTTACGACACCATGCTTTAATTCAAATATAATAAAATACCGATACGTTAAAGCTGCATTTTAAATTTAAATTCAGTGAAGTATTCTTTTTTTTTTTACTGGGTTCTTACAAAAGTAATAATTGATAATTTTATAATGCCAAGTAAAAGATCAAAAATAGAATTTCGATTTTAAATCATACATAATTTTTGAGAGAATAGAAAATTTATTTTTTATTGAAAATTATTAACGGTAAAAATTTTATTATAATAATTGTTATGAATGCATGCACCTAGCATCATAAAGGATTTAACAGTGTCATCAGATTTTAGTCTACAATTTTTTTTTTAATACAATAAATCTACAATTTCTAATATAACAAACTTTATAGAATTTATCGTTTTTATAAATATTATACAACAAAATCTTGCGTTTATAGGTGAAACGAGGACCAAAATAGTATTTATATTTCTTAATATAAATTGGTCGTGCCCAAAGGCGATATACTTGATCTTGAACTTCTACCGAGTCGTGATTGTTAGTAGAAGGTGCAGATGAGCTTATCTCACCATTAACAGTTTCAGCAGAAATTTTATTGAACACATCAAAATTGGCGGATTGAGAAGGATCCAAGTCCGTCTCCCAGATGTCTCCGGTTTCGGGTAATGAGTCTAAAGAAATTTCATCTATTTTTGGCTGGATTATCGTTGCGGCGATGAGATTGCAAATAATAGAGACAAGAAAGAAGATGGAGATAATTTTCGAAGTAGACATGATTTCTTCGATGAGTTAAGAGTTTATGCGTATGTGTGTGTTTTTTTTCCCTCGAGGATTGAAAAATTTTGAACATTAAATACATGTTTTTTCCTTAAAGTTTATCTGTGGTTAGATCATTTTTAAATAACTACTTTTCTTTAAAGCTTATCTGTGGTTCATCATTTTTAAATAACTATTTTTCTTTAAAGTTTATCTGTGATTCTCTGCGTCCTGAGTATTGATTTGCCAATTTTGATTAATATTTCATAAATCATTATTTCAAAACAATAACGCGTGATAAACTGTGATAAAACTATGATAATCTGATAGGCATTCAATAATGAGCACAGACTCAGACTGTAAAGCAGTAACGCGATGATAAGATAGTTACGAAAAAAAAAAGGGCTTTAAAATTTATCGCTATAACGATGTATCACTACCCGGGTCCGTGTCAAATCAAAATCCTGAAAATTAAAATTTCGAAACCGAAACTTAATTGTCGCCCTCGTGATGTCGGGGGTTCAATATTCAAACTCTGCCTATGATTAGTAGTAATATAGATTACCTATATATTACTAATCATAAGCGAAGGTTGAATATTGAAACCCGACATCACACGACGCGGCAACTAATCTCAGGGGACGATACATTGCAATGGCGATCAAACAAAAAAGATATTTCAAAATAGACAATCTCCTGTGATCGATGAACCTTGATGCTGCAACTTAATTTAAATAATGTGACAGATTAAAATGAAATTATAATATAAAATCTCGAACAATAAATTTTTTTGTTATGTATTTTTTAGGGTTAGGGGTTAGAATTAGGGGTTAGGATTAGAGTAAAATATATTAAACAAGTATAAGTGGGTTAGAAGGTTGAATAGTGTAGATTTCATGATCTGCGACAAATAATAATACCGGGGTTTCAAAATTAACAACGATGACCAGAATTAGCGTTAGAGTTAAGGTTAGGAGTTTATAAGCACAACATTTGCTGGATTTATCACGTTGTGCCCGTAGCTTTGCGCTTTAAAAATAAATAGGATTTTTCAACTATATAGTATAGTTACTATGATGTTATAAATCGGAAAAATAAAATAAGATGTTTTGATTTTAATTTGCAACCCCCTACTAAAAAAAAGATCTGAATTCTATTCCTGAGAATAATAATGATCATACTAAGAACTCACCAATAATATTTTTGCTTTCTGGAATAATAGAATACAATTACTGTTATAGGAATGCAAAATTGATATTGATTTGATTATAAATTTTCAAATTTAAAATCGTTACTATTGCCATCTTAAATCGTTCGATAATAAGGGTCGTTTATAGGGTGAGTGGCACGGAGGTCATTGGCATGCCTATGGTGGCATGCCATAGGCATGCCCAATGCCAAGATTGCCTATAGGCATGCCATTTATATATATTCCGAAAGGTTCCGAATCGAAAATAAAAAATCTAAATTCCGAAAGAGCAATGCTCCGATGTATTCCGAAAGGTTATTTATAGTAGACGATAA